CTGGCGTCCATTTTTGACGGCCTATTCCGTTTATCTGGCTAAACCCCTGCTTATAATAAAAATTATTGCCTGTGTGCAATATGATAACTGATGATTTTGGTAGTACTGCCGAAACATGTCTTGTTGGGGCCGTTAAGTCCAACACTATGTAATTAATAGGATTTGCCTATGAATTATGATAAAAATAACTGTTAAAAATTATTAGATAGCTTGGTGGTTAAGTTGCTTGCCTTCCAATCCCAGGGTCCTAGGTTCAAATCCTGTGACAGCGCAGGACAGTAAGGGTTTCAAGGGGCTGAACCGGCCTTGCCCTACCTAATTTTTCAAAATTTTTTTTTTTTAAATGGAGAAAAAAGGAAAATATTAATCAAATTTAGGTCTGAGAGTGCCATTTCCATCCATCTAGAGGTCAAATAATCATAAATTTTGCATAAATGGGACTGAGGTGGTCTAGACGCTCCATCTGTGAAAGTCCTTCCGTAGGCCCCTTCTATTTTGAATTCCTGTATCCACCACTGCAGGACTTTTTCTTACAGTTACTAAACCACATTTTCACACTAAAGCCTCGTAATAATAATATGCGCACTATAAGCCAACAATTATTATTATTATTAATAATGAGTCTTCGCTGATAAAACATCATGTTATTTCATTTATCAAAAAGGGCCCCTAATATCAGGCGACCTTCTACGGTACACTGGGTCACCCTTTATAAATATGGTTTTAAAAAAAAAACAAATATTACCAAGATATAAGATCATTTCATTTTTTTCAACAATGTTGAATACAAGATTTAGATTTAATCTGAATAAAAAAAAACCCCATTTTTTATATATCATCAGTGATTAAGATCTACAAATCCACTAAGCATGAATGACGCTCGGATACAAACATTATAGTGGGCTTCCGTTTGTGGCCTAGTTATCATGGCCTCAGGATAAGTTCTCCAATTATGCCATAATTGAATTTTTTTGTGTACAAATTCAAATCAAGATTACGCCGAACAATAAGTGTATTCGCAGTGACCTTAATGCGCATTGCATCTAGTAATGTTTAATAAATGATGCATTTCTGACAGTAAATGCTGCAGCACAGTTTAAGTAATTTATCATCAGTTTTAAGTGATGTGTTGATGTGGCAAATATACCATAAACTGAGTATGCAGCTGCTCTGTGTAATAAGAGGTGGATTTGATATCAAGCATAAATATTTTGATAACAACCAACAAAAATATGATATAATGTAAGATAAATTTAGAACAGTTTTCATTTATTTTTTTAGAATTTATTCTATATTTAGCAATAGATCAAATCTACACACTTGATACAAAAAGGCATTGTGGTAATGTGCTTTTATTACCTCCGCCAACGAGATTATGTATTCACTCCTGTTTGTTAACAAGATTAAGCAAAAACTAATGAATGTATTTAATCATGAAATTCAATGGAAAGGTGCATAATAATCTAAGAAAGAGAAGAAGGTCAAAGGGCAAAGTCATGAAAATTTTATTTCCTCTCTCCCCCACCCCCACCTTGAACTTGCTCAAGTATAAAACAAAATAATGGAATCGCTCATACACGGCCGGCATATTGTTCCCTTTCCAGTCACAGGGCAGAGGTATGCACTCTATGGAGTGGTAGCACTCAAGTACAACTTAAATTTAATAAAAGTTTGCATAAGTCTGCAAGGTAACTACACATATTTTTTTTTTATGTTTTGCATGTTAAAGACTTACAATATGTTAAAAATCTTTTAAAATAAAATTACATTATTTGAATTGGCCTAGTTTATTTAGTTAGGCCACAGAACAAAGTATATAGGATCCGTGGTTAGGCTGTCATTGAGGAGTGCGGAAGGCTGAAGCATGACAGAGAGATCAGATCAGGCTCGATGCCTTTGACATGAGATGTCATGGGAAAATTGGTCACAGCATATCAGAAACATCAACATTTGCGAAAACACCAGTCAGCTACAGTTCACAAAATTATAAGAAAGCGTTGCCGCCAATGATTTGGACACATACAGAGAATTGACGAAATTCGAATTCTCCAATTAAACTATACAGATCGCAACCAATCCATGGTCAAAGAAAAACCTAGAAAGACCTCATACAACATCGCCTAGCGCTGAAGATAATAAATAGCAGAAGATAGAGCAGCTTCCCAATATATTGGAACATCCGTTCAAAAGGCATTGTGGGTACACAGAGAGCAATTTTACTCCATCCGCGCAGCGGCGCTATATAGTAATAATAATGGCGCCACTCTAGTTCGTTTGTTTCCTGTAGTTTCTCCACTTAGTAAAATATTCAAATTTTACCCCATTCACGGGAGGGCGGATGTTCCATCAATTTTAATGCAAATACGCGGAACAGCTCATTCTTCTGCTATTTAAGTTCTTTGCTAGCGCTCATAGCTGAGTTGGAGTCGGCTGGATCAGTATGTCTTTGCTAGTAAATAATTAGGAATGTTAATATTAAGTAAATCCCTACTGACTTTTACGTTATTTTATAATTATCAACTGATTTGTTTTTTTCAACTTACACAAAAAAATATATTATATGTGATTGCACAACAATCTATGAAAAAAAAAAGAAGATAAATTGAATAATTAAATGTATTGCTTAAAAAACTCAAAAAACCAAAATTGATATTTATACCTTAAAATATTTAGTATTAATAGCAACAGTAATAAGCTATCTTATGAACCAAACAGTATAATAATAACAATAATAATAATAATAATAATAATAATAATAATAATAATAATAATAATAATAATAATAATAATAATAATAATAATAATAATACAGGGATATATACAACAAATTTTTCCAAGGGATACGAGGTGCAATAAAAATAAATAAAAAAGGAACAATTACTTTATCATTAACAAGGGTGAAACCAAATCAGTGTCAGACCCTTTTTTCTAAAAGGAGCCCCCAAAAAAGACAAATGTTGTATACAAAAGACAATAGACAAGGCACTCAAAATAAACTGAGTGTTTGGCCTAGAGGTATTTCAATAACATTAAAATTAAAATTAATATTAAAATGTCCCCGTTTCTAGTGCTGAAGGCCTTTTGACACTGCCTTTTTTTAGTACAGTATTTTAGGTTTTAATTGTAGTCAGATGGCTCTGCTCCTCAAATAACCCTCATAAGGGAGTTAAGCAGGATGAGGTATCCATGCCGGTACTGGCATTGGTCAAAAAAGAAAAATTTGTTTAATATTTCTTTAAAGTCTCATTATGAGGTTTAGGTAGTAGAGTTGTGGGATTGGAAGGCAAGTATCTTATTCTTAACCACCAAGCTACATATCCACTTTAATGTAGACCACATTTTAGTAAATTTTTGCTGATCCTTGGGCTCATAGGGCTGGAGCTTATCTCCAGTTTCAGTAGCGTGAAATGGATGAGAGTATGATACTCCCTCTGGGTGGGATGCTAGCCTACTGCAGGTCACTCCCAATCATTTGCTGCACCCATTGATACAACTGGGTAGACTGAAGTAACGATGTAGATAAAGTGCCTTGCTCAAGGGCACAGCGAAGTATTGAAACCCTGTCCTTAACGGGAAACTTTGGGAAACCAAACCATTTCTACAAACTGCTTCCACTATGTATACTTTAATCACAAAAAAAAGTACATCAGTGCCACAAACTGCTTCCACTATGTATACTTTAATCACAAAAAAAAGTACATCAGCTGAGCCAATGTCAACTGTGTCTTAAAATTTTCATTCCAATTACTAAAAGAAACAGCAAATTAGATGGAGACCAATGAGGACCTGCCAAATAAATTTCTTATTTAGCCTGTTACAGTGTAGCTACTGTAGGCTTTAACTTCTAAATAGATGTCTTCCTACTGTAGGTTATGGCACTTAGATGGGCATAAAAATGGCTTACAGGGCAAAGTGAATTTTTTTATTTACAATTAGTGAGAGTCGTACACAAACTAGACATCTGAAAAACATTTATGCACTGCTTTTATACCACTTTATGCTCAGTATTAATTTATTCTATTAACTTTCTACTGATGATCAGTGTTGAGCTATAAAACAAGGGGTTTTCTAGTCAAAGATCGTAAGTATAGGCTGCATATTGTAAGGTTGTCGTGGGCCGCAAAAAATTGTCGGTTAGCCGCATATGGCCCCAGGGACACACATTTCCCACTGGTACCGTAGTACTTAATGTGAAAGAGCACATATCCCTTCTCTGTTCGGAATATCCGCCACCCCTTCCTCCATAACATTTTAGCTCCTGGACCTCAATTCTGGTTCTGTTGAAATACAGAACAAACTCCACAGCAGGGATGTACAGTACATGCATATTCAATTCATTGGGTCCCCTTTCCATCCATACATCTTACAACGCGAGCATCACTCCCGTCAGTAGCTTTCTCTGCCTCATTTTTGATAAGCTTCCTCCTCCCCATCCAAAAAAACATCATTCAATGATTTGCAAATTTAACCAAGTCAACCATACATTACTATTATAACAATATTAATAATATACTACTATAACGAGGTAGATATATCACTATAGGCCTTACCTAGGGCCGCCCTAGTCTACAGTGTATAGGCAAATCTCTAGTTAGGCCGGGGCCTAGGCCGGCCAGGGCAGGCCTATCCCAATTAAAGTTAAAGTAGTAGGCTAGGATTCGGAACAGCCAGTACAGTACTGTTGTGTGAGGGAGCCTATGCCTCTACCACTCAAGTAGGCTAGGGTTATTTAGCAGGCCTAGCTAGTGTAGTATGCTTACACCAATCATTAGCAGCAACACTAAGTACAACATACATAACGATGGCTAGACTAGACCTATACGATGTTCTATACCTAGCCTAGCTAGGCAGAATGTAGGCCCTAGAGCTAGGTTAGGCTAGCCTCGATCATTCATGCTGCTTGCACACCGCCACGATGGCCATACCTCCGCTATAATAATGGGACCCATTCATAAGAAATCATTTGATACTGAGGCCTAGCCTAATGCACATTGTATTACCTCAAATATATCTGGAATCTTGTGTTTTTTTAGATATTTTCGAAGTTCAGGATCAACCCCCTTCAACGAAGCCATTTTTATGAATTTCCCCCAATTACACGTCTTAAATTTACTGCTTGCACCAATAAAATCCGGTACACTCGGTGGGTCGGTGATATTTTTTGTTGTTGGGTGGGTAGCAACCTTTTTTAATCGTTGAGGGCGTATTTTGACAGCCTTTTTATGTTTGTACTGTCTGTACCCTTAAACCCCTACGTCGGTATATAATTTTTAAACACACTATGCAGGGGCCCCGGGCAGGGGCAGATTTAGGGGGGAGGGCGGCGGTCCCGGCGCACCCATCTCCTTTTTGGAAAGAAAGAAAGAAAGAAAGAAAGAAAGAAAGAAAGAAAGAAAGAAAATGGTCGCCAAAAACGCCTCAGAGGTTTCGCGGGAGCATTTCCCCAGACCACCTAGAGCGGTCCCAGTTTCTTCCCCCCTCTTGGCCCCTTCCCCCTACCTTTCGGACATCTCTGGATCCGACCCTACTATGTACACAAAAATCATAAATTTAGAAAACTATGACACATAATATTCATTTTTGTTTTATTTTTTGTGGTTCAAGACAGTCATTGACATTTCCCAGCTCAGGTTACTTGGAAGAAAGAATATGATCACAATTTTGCATGACCCTTTGCGAATCTTGACCCTCCGATTTCCGTTAAATAAAATAGCCAACCACAAACATTCATTTTAATCAAACAAACCCGATGGAACTATTGTTCGTTTCTAAATTTTTTGACTCACTGACAGTAAACTAAATTTTTATTCCATACAATCGCTACAAAGTATCGCCGACAGCTTTCGGTGATGCTGATTGGTCGGTCGTATCGGAGAGCCTTCCCGGTTGCGCCTTCCTGGGGACTGCTACACAGTAGTGCAACGATTGCACAGTGTAGCGATTTTAAGGAAACAATGCTTAACATGTTTAAAATCAATTATGACTAACACCTAAAAAACTGTAATGAGAAGAGTCAGTCCCTACTAGTTTCAACTCATTGCCTCTTAAATAATCACAAAAAATCACATTTATTTTCCATCAACATATTTTCTAAATATTTAATCAACTGCAGAAAATCCATATTTGAAACCGTTATCAAAGAAAATAAAGTAGATGTAATAAAGTGAAATATGCAGTATTCGAAAAAAAAAATTAGGCCTATTCATTCAGAAAATAAAACTGTTTGTTATGAAGAAGAAGAAAAGCAGAAGGAAAAGAAGAAGGGAAAAGAGAAAGAGAAAAAAAAGAGAAAAGGAGAAGGAGAAGAAGGAGAAAGAAAGAGAAAGAGAAAGAAAAAGAGGAGGAGAAGGAGGACAAAGAACAGGCCAAGGAGAAGGAAAAAAGAGAAAGAGATAGTAAAGAGAAGGAGGTGAAGGAGGAGGAGAAGGAGAAGATGAAGGAGAAGGAGAAGGTGGAGAAAGAGAAGCGAAAGAGAAAGAGGAGAAGAAGTGTTGCTGACGATTGTTTTCGGGAAAGTCTAATTAGAATGATCGTCTACATAAAAGTAGGCAAATACTGTGCTAAACAAATTAATTGTGACTGCAACGATGACAAATCCGGTCTGACGATAATGGTATTACTGTTTCTATGTGATAAGAGTATTTAATAACGATCCGATATGCGGATTATAACAGGGGAAGTCCCCTAGCGTTTTGGTAATGTGTAGACCTATGGGACAACTCTTCTGAGAATATAGAGTACATCTTTTATATAGTGTTACTAAATTTAATTTAAATTGAGTTTGCTCAATATCATTTTCATTCCAAGCTATTGTGCATCGTAAACCTCATGATAGTAAATTGGTCGGACCAGTTATGGAATTTAATTAAATAAAGAGACTCAAAATGTTGATTTTGTCATCGTGGGTAAAGTGCTCCTCTCATTCCACCAGCCAGGGGGAAATACCTGCGTGTACTATTAATTAATCAGTGTATTATTCTTCGTGAGCATACTTATACAAGCCGGACCAACGATTCAACGTCCTGTTAAAGGATGAGTAATTCGAGTAAAATTTTCTTCCTTTGTGACAAGTAAAAGTCGGTGTGTTTGCAGACACGAACGCCCCAGGGGCGAATTCAGAGATGTCCGAAAGTAGGGGGAGGACCAATTGTTGGGGGCCAAAAGTGAGGCTGATCGAGACAACATTAAACCTACTCTAGGGGGTCTGGGGTAGTGCCCCCGCGAAATTTTTGGATTTTTTTATACTCCCGAAAATATATCCTCCGAGGCGTTTTGGGCGATCAGTTTTCTTTCTCTTTCTTACATTCTTTTTTTTTTTTTTTTCCAAAAAAGGGCACGACCAGCGGCGTATCTAGGAGCCTTGAAATGGGGGTAGGCGGATGATAGTGTGATGAAAGGACGGGGCGAGGGTGAAGTGGGGTTTGATGATAAGTTAAGGGGTAATAGCTCGCAAAATAAGGTGATTTGAGGTGATTTGTAATTACTTCAGAGTGATTTTTTTGCTTCGAACAGGGATGGAAACTGGGGGACTAGTATATATTTACGTCTCACCCCCACACCCCTAGCTATGCCACTATGAACGACCAAGAATAATTGGGGCAACCATAGCACAATACATAATTAATTTTCCTAAAAGCAGTTTTTATTTCAGCAACGAACACGCCAAAGAAATACAATTCGCCCTCGAATTCGAGACCACTTTTGGGGAGGCCTTGGGGTTCGGTCTGCAGTTAGAGAGTTCGCTTTGTGTTAAAAGATTGACGATTCTTATTTGCTTCTTTGAAAAGGTGGTTTCGAATTAGAGGGGTCTCGGAATTATAGGGGTCTCGAATTTAAGGGTGCTGTATCTCTAAGAGAACTGATTAAACACAGCCACAATGGGCTTCATGATTAGGAATTGTGTGACAAATGAATTCAAATATATTTTCAAATTGAATTCCACAATGAAATAAAATGTCTGTGAGAAACACGAGTACGACATTTAGTAACGGCAACAACGTGACTGGAATGAATAGTGCAATTAACGCTGTACATAGGCTAGCTAATTTGAATTAAAGGGGAGTTAATATTTCCCTAATACCTTTGAAGTACTAACTGTAGGCCTAATTATTTGGAAAATCTTTAAAATATCATAATATTGAAGCAAA